AACGATGATCGATGATGATGAGCAGTAAAACTAAATTCATTACGTCTAACTCCAATATAAATTTTTGGTGTGAAATGGATAAAGTCGTAAAAGAAGAGAAAATAGCTGCCAAAAAAGAAAAAGAAGGGAAAATAAAAAACAGCCCTTACATATTTTTATTCTTATTTTATCGTTACACCATGTCTCATATGAAATAAAAATGTAAATGTAAATATAAACCCCCCCCCGGGGAATCATGAATCCATGATTAGAAGGATAACGACTATTCATGAAACTTTTGTTCATTTTTCAGTGGCCATCAATGAACTCTCTAATCTTAGCGGCCAGACCCTCTGTTTGCTCCGCCGTATCGGCGTCCGGCTCCGCCCCAAATGAGTTCAGATAAAACGAATATCCCATTCCTTCACTACTCACAAGAACTTCCACGTCAGACAATTTTACAATATTTGTGATTATAAAATCTCTAGGTGAGTATCTACCCCATTGGTTTTTATTTATCAGACAATTTTATCAAATTTAAACAAACCAAGAAAATTAATTTTTGTGTTTAAAATGATTCATTATTTTTCCAAAACAATTCCGTACTTATTATGTATTATTCTTTCTCTTAATCGATTAAAAGCATCATTTTCTTAAAAAAAAATATTAATTATTGCATAAATTATCTTTATAAATATTAAATAGGGACACCCAACTAATGTGCATTTTAATTTTCATCTTGTGGGGTACATATTCTTAATGTCACCCTGGCACCACGTTAACAGGCATGATTTGCATTTCCTGTACCTAGTTACCTCTTTACCACTCCCTCCGTCCAGAAACAATTACATTTCTCATTTATTAAAAAACATTCGCAAGATGTCTTAAATTTTCTGAGTTTGTTTTTTATTTTGTCCCATTAATTATTTATTTTAATACACAATTATTTATCATCTCATTTTTTGAAGTATCATTCTTTTCATTTTAATAATTTTTTATTCTCTACCTTGTACTCTCTCCTTCATAAATAAAAAAAATTATTAAAAAATTACAATTTTTACATATTTATTGTCTTTAACTAATTTTAACTATCTATTTAATCTATGTAATTTAGGCAAATGTTTCTTATAAATTGGGATGTTGGGGAGTAATTTCTAAAATAAAGAGCCCCACCTGTTATAATAATCCTAATATTAGTTGTTAAGCATGATTTTTTCTAATTAATCGCTTAAAGCAACAGGCCCTGCATGTTATAATAATCCTAATATTAGCTGTAATTTACACAAATTGTATTAAAAAAAAAGTAAATGTGCAATTCAATGAATTTTTTTATTTTTGAATTTTAATTTGTGTATAATAGTAAATTCCAAACAAAATAATTTGTGGCCTGTGCTTTTATATTTTGATGATAATATTGTTTATATTTTTAATGTGTACAAAATAATAAATTGTCCAATAAAATAAGTTTTTTATTATATTTTTAGTGCTAGTTCCAGTCTTAATTATAAGAGCTAGTTGACTAATTTGAGGATATTAAGGAAAGAAGTTAAGTTAGTTATTTGTAATAAATATATATTGTCTTTCCTAAAATATCCTTACTAATCAAGTATATTGGTTAGAGTTACCATTGTTAGAAGAGCTATCTTGAAAAAAATGCATAAACATGAGAGATAAAATGGATTGGGGTCTTATATTTAGGACCAAAATAAAAGTCAAACAAGATCTTATACTACCTTTGGTCCTAATTATAAGAGCTAGTTGACTAATTTGAAGAGATTAAGGAAGTAAGTTGAATTAGTTATTTGTCCTAAATAGGTGTTGCCTTTCCTAAAATATCCTTGCTAATCAGGTGTATTGATTAGAACTGTCATTGTTAGAAGGCTACTTTGGAAAAAAATGTACAAATATGAGAGACAAAGTGGATTGGGGTCTTATATTTATGACTAAAATAAAAGTCAAACAGGGTCTTATATTAAGGACCGGAGGTAATATTAAGAATCGGAGGTAGTATATACAAGAGAAATAAATTATAAAAAATATTATTAACATGACATTTTATAAGACAGAGGTTGCATGAGCATAAATTTTGGAATAAAATATGAAAAAAAAGAATAAAACAGAAATTAAAAAGAAATAGCCGTTGGCTCTTGTCGTTACTTCTGCTATTTGAAAAGTGCTGCCGCACCGAGTGTGAAAAAAAGGAGAGCAAATCAATTTCAATTCGCTTAAAAAGGGCGTTTAGATGTAATTAAAATTATAATTTTAAAAATGATTTTACAACATATAAAGTAAATACATGGAAGGGTTAATTTTGATTTGTGAAAAAATAATTTTAAAAAATACTTTTTATAATATCTAAATACTCATATAATTAATTTTTTAATCATAATTTACGAAATACGATATAAGAATATAAGAATTTTATTTTAACTTACATGAAAAAAAACATTTATAAGTGCTTTTGAATATGACTTCAAACGGGCCTGATGTCGCGTTTCAATTACGCAGTAATTTCTCGGAAGCACCCAAACAACCAAAGGAGCACTTTCCTCCACTTCTGCCTCACCCCACCAGTGAAGTTTAACACCTTCTCAATTTCTCGTTCTATCTTATATACACACACAGAAATATTCCAAATCAATGATAATTGGATTAAAGGGGTGTTTCAGTAAGAACAAAATCATGATTTCAGAAGTATTTTTACGGTATATGAAGTAAATATGAAAAAAAATTTATCTCGATTTGCGAAAAAGTGTGTCTGAAAAATAATTATAAGGTTACCAAAACACCTCCTAAGTAGGAGAAACTCAATAAAACCCATATTAAGTATGAGTTTTTAGGGAAAAAAATTATATGTCGGAAAGCACCCCTCAATTATGGCCCTGTTTGCAATCATAATAGAAATCACTTATAAATATATTTTTACATAAGCCAAAATAAAACTAATTTTACATACTTACTAATATTCCGTAAATCACGATTAAAAAAGCTACTTATCAATTATTCTAAATGATCCCTATATATTTTGGAGTTTCATGACCTCAAAACCCTCATTTTTTTAGCCTCAACTATTCTTAAAAATATTTTTGATTGTCAAGATTAAAAACACGTAAATACAAGACCCTAAACATGAAAAAGCTTACCAATCTAAAAGAATCGTCACATACGCACACGAACACACGCACATGCGTGCGCGTGCACACTTTTTTAAACACAAGTCAGCAGAAAAATTGTAATTCGAAGAGTCCTTAATGAAGCTGAAATCTTTTTAATTTTTAAGGGGACAATTTAAAAAAGCAAAGGGATCATAAAAAATTGAAAAATTATTCGCAATGACCAAATTCAGAAACTACTTATTTATTTACTCAGAAAAAAAAAGAAACTGCTTACTCCTATTTCTGAAGGATTTTTTAATAAATTATTTTTTATGATCAACGTGGATATTTTTACAAATTGCACCGAAGTTGCTAAATGCTTTGTTCGCTGAAGTCGCTGAAGTCGCTGAAGTCGCTGGGGATATGAAATGACATTACAAGAATCAAAATTCTGCGTCATCGACTGCGCAGTTCGTATCGTTTCTTAACGTACAATTGAGAAAAGGAGAATTATCAGAGACCGATAGAGTCCAAAAGCAAGAATAGTAGTTGGAATCACACTGGCAGATGGGAAAGTCTCTCTCTGGAAAAGCAAATTCATATCCATCCCTCGAATTCAAGTCTTGTCTTATAATACCTTTACTTGTTAATATATAAGAAATAGTTTAATTTGATACTAAATATGAAATATTAATTTATTTTATCTCTTATATTTATAAATTTTATTTTTAAATAATTCTTATAATAGTAGTATATGTTAAGAAGTTACTATCAATTAGTAATTCAAACACATATAATTACTAAGGGTAATTTAAAAAAATATATCTATTTACTACAAATAACTAATTTAGCCTCTTTTTTTTTTAATTTTCTCAATCTTATATCAAGAACAGGAGAAATATCGAGAACCGGAGGTTGTATTTTATAATTCAAGGTTAATTTCCTAAAAGCATCCAAAGTTCCCAACAACCAGGATTCTCACCTATTTACTGCTCCCAGACTCTCCTCTAATCTCTTTTTCCTTTCACCGTCATTGGATTAAAACATTAATGATCCACATTTAACATTTTATAAAAATAAATATCATTATAATTATAGATAAAAATAGATAAATAAATTTGAATTGTTAAAATTTCACCTGAACAATTCATAATTATATGTTATCATAAAGTAGATTTTTCCCTTATTTTTTCACCACAATTGTGAACTATTTGGATCAGATTTTAATAGTTTAAATTTTTTTATGTATTTCTTAAATAAAATTATAATAATATTTATTTTTATAAAAGATTAAATATGAACTATTGGAATATTGGTCCAAACTGTGATAAAGAGAAAAGGAGTGTAGAGGAGAAGATCTGAATTAGCTTCAACATGGCTGAGCTGATAGAAAAATATATGATTTTTTCCTACAAGAAAAGTGTGACAATAATTTAAAATTTATGTTGACATAATATTTATTATTTGCCATCATTATAGTTCTAGTATGATGATGAATAAGTAGGATTAAAAACAAGCTGTGCTGAGAGGGGAAAAGTGCAAAACGATCAATTAAAAACTAATTGTTTGATGTTATTATTTTTCTGAATGCTTTTCATGTAATATATTATTTTTTGCTATCATCTTGGATATTTTGCAAATCGCAATGAAGTGGCTAAAGGCTTTCCCCCCATTAATTATTACAATCGCTTGGGATAAAATAAGAATCAAAATTCCCTATCCTCGCTTGTGGTTGGTATCGTTTTTCAAAGGACAAGAAAGAAAGGGAGAATCATTAGAGGTAGGCAAGGACAAAAACAAGAATGGCCGTTGGAAGACTGGCAGATGGCAAAGTTGAATTTTCAAAAGTCTCCCTGGACAAGCAAGTTCACATGCATCCCTCAAATTCAAGCCTTGTATTTTATTATTTCAGAGTAGTTTCTCAGAACCATCCAAAGTTCTCAACAATCAAAGAAAGACTTTCGCCTATCTATGCCTCGCACACTAGTGAAGCATTAACAACTCTTGCTTTCTCGTTCCTCTTTGTCCAGCTTTCTTCCTTTCTTGCTGCTAAATACTTTCTATTAGATTTAACATGGCAGAGTTGGTGGCTGGAGCGTTTCTCTCGTCTTTCCTTCAGGTGGCATTTCAGAGATTGGCTTCTCATGACTTTGTTGAATACTTTCGTCGCAGAAAGCTCAATGATAACTTGCTCAAAGAGTTGGATATCACCCTTAATTCTGTGGGCAAAATTGTTGAAGATGCAGAGGAAAGGCAATACAGAGACCATCATGTGAAGAAGTGGCTTGGCGAGCTCAAAGATGAAGTCTTTAAGGCTCAAGACTTGCTGGACGACATTGCTACTGAGGCATCACAACAGAAGTTGGATGCTGAATCGCAAAGTTCTACTGGTATCTGCAAGGTACGAGGCTTCTGTACTACTCTTGCTAGTCGAAATCATTTTGACAAAAAGATAGAGTCAGAGTTAAAAGAACTGCTTAACAGCCTAAAGAATCTTATGAAGCAAAATGAGATATTGGGATTAAGAGAAGGGCCATCTGCTAGTGATCGATCGGGAGTGATCAACAGGAGAGTATACAGAAGATTGCCTTCAACACATTTGATAGATGAATCCGATATATATGGTAGAGATGCTGATAAAGAGAGGGTTGTAGAGATTTTACTGTCACAGAACATGGGATGTAGGAATCAATTGCCTGTGGATGTGATTGCCGTCACTGGTATGGGCGGGATGGGTAAGACAACCCTTGCACGACTTGTTTATGAAGATCCAAGGATGAAGGATCATTTTCAACATAAAGCGTGGGTGTGTGTTTCTGAAGAATTTGATGTTGATCACCTCACAAAAGCAATTCTTGAGTCACTTGATTGTCCAACTAAACAAGATTTTCACGTAAATCAGTCTAAACTAGAAGAGACATTGATGGGTAAGAAATTCTTTCTCATTCTTGATGATGTCTGGAATGAGAATTGTCAAATTTGGAATGTTTTCACAGCTCCTTTTAGACAAGTCGCACCACAGAGTAAGATTCTTGTCACAACCCGTAATAAAATGGCAGCAAAAGTTATGTATCTTACTTCTACATATCCTTTGAAGCCATTACAAGATGGAGATTGTTGGAATTTATTTGTGAAACATGCATTTAACAACCAAACCGATGCTGTTGATCCAGATCTTGTACGGATTGGTAAAGAAATCATAAAGAAATGTGGAGGATTGCCTTTAGCAATAAAAGCACTGGGAAGTTTGTTGCGTATAGAACTCTCTTTTCAACACTGGAATAAGATTTTGAAAAGTGAGCTTTGGGCATTGTCAGAAGATCATTGCAATATTATTCCATCTTTAAGATTAAGCTACCATTATCTACCCTCAAATTTGAAACGTTGCTTTGCCTATTGCTCCATCTTTCCCAAAGATTATGACATAGACAAGAATGTCCTAATCCAATTGTGGATGGCAGATGGTTTAATATATCTAACTCAGGGAAGTACGAGCCTTGAAGAAGCTGCTGATGAAATCTTCAAAGATTTGGAGTCTAGGTCTTTTTTTGAGCCATCGAAAAGAGGTGGCAATTATTTCATCATGCATGATCTTCTGAATGATCTAGCAAAATCTGTGGCAGGAGAGTTTTTTGTGTTGCTCGATGCTGCTCAAGCAGAAGATATGTCAACCAAGACTCGCTACCTTTCATATATAAGATACAAAAGTGATAATGTTGACATTTTTGAGAAACTTTTAAAATGCCACCAATTACGTAGTTTCATCCAATTTGACACTCTTAGCATTGGCGACGATATAATGTCTAGGCTTTGTCGTCTCAAGTACATACGACAATTATCTTTGAAGGGATGTCGAAATTTGAGAAGCTTGACAGATGGCATTGGCAATTTAAAGCACCTGCATTACTTGGATATTTCCTACAGTTCAATTGGGAAATTGCCAAATTCAATGTGCTTGTTAATTAATTTACAAACATTGAAATTAAGAAGTTGTGATTACTTGACTGAGTTGCCATCAAATTTGTACAAACTCATCAACTTGCGTCATCTTGACTTAGAAGGCTGTGCCATAAAGAAGATGCCAAGCTGTATGGGAAAGTTAAATAAGCTCCGAACAATGAATATGTTTGTGGCGGCAAAGAAAGGAGGACCAAATATAAAAGAGTTAGGTACCTTGAGCCACTTAACAGGCTCACTAACCATCTCAAATATGGAGCATGTAAGTGATCCTACAGATATGAGGGAGGCCAATTTGAAAGAAAAGAAATTGGATAAATTGATGTTGTTATATCGGGGACACAGTTGTAGTCGTGAAGAGGCACAGCTCCAGGAACACGTATTGGAAGCAGTTGAGCCAAATCAGAGTGTGAAAAAACTCACCATTAAGGGATACAGAGGTACCAAATTTCCAAAGTGGCTTGGTGTTGAACATTTTTTGCCTAAGTTAGTGTCTTTATCTCTGTTAAGTGACGGGAACTGTGTCAGATTATTACCACCACTTGGGCAACTACCTTCCCTTCAGAAACTCACGATTAATGGATTTGATGGAATAAAGGTGATCATAGGTAAAGAGTTCTATGGGAATGGCTCCTTAATTGCTCAACCATTTCCTTCCCTCTCATATTTAGAGTTTTCTAGCATGGACGAATGGGAAGAATGGGATATATGCTACGAAGGTCAAAGTTTCCCACGCCTTGAAGAACTTTGTATATATAATTGTCCTAGACTGACAAAGTCTCTGCCTCAACACCTTCCTTGTCTAAAAACACTAGACATTTCGAGATGTGAGAATTTGGAGGCAACACTTCCCAAGTCCTCTTCCATGAAGAAGCTGTCTTTAGATAAATGTGAGAAGATATCAGTAAAAGACATGCCCACATGGAGCATCTCAGACGTGCTTCCACCTCTCTATGACCTGTCTTTACGGCATTGTCCAGCAATAGAATCTCTTCCCCAAGGAGGTATGCTTTCCAGCCTACAAAGTCTTACAATCAAAGGGTGTTCCAAGCTTATTGCGTGTGGTAGGGATTCAGGTTTGCATGAGTTGTTGTCTTTGAAACAACTTAATATTAGTGATGACGTCGTGGAGTTGTTTCCTGAAGAAGAGAGATTGTTGCCGCCCAATCTCCAATCTCTTTCATTCTTGCATTGTACCAATTTGAGAAGAATAAACCATAGGAGTCTTGTGCACCTCCATTCTCTCACTTCCTTATCATTTTATCATTGCCCTCGCATGAGTTTTGAAGGCATGCCAGAAGCAGATGCTTTACCTCCATCCTTATCGTTTGTGATGTGAGTGGCTTGAGAGGAGGTGTGAAAAGGATAAAAGACCAGATTGGCCTAAAATTGCTCATATCCCTGATGTACACATGTGGAGTCAAGACTATCTAAAAGGTACTTCCTCTATACTTATTCATAACAGATGTTGAGCTTAAGTTACATACAAATAATTTCCTTCATGGCATGTTAACACACACACACACACACCATATACATTCATATTCATGTTGTATGTCTCATATTGCCCTGTATGTGCTTGATTTAGAAGAGATTCTTTCCAGCTATATTTGCTCTGTACATTAAAGGTTAATTCATAATTAAGAAGTGGAATGCCCCAAATGATTGCTTAAAGCATTGCATGGGGCCTTAAAAATATACATAGCTCAATAATAATATGATTAATTTTGAAAGAGAAATTTAGGAAAAAGTCTCCTATAAAAATTTTTTATTGGTGAGAATGACCTAATTATCATAGTATCAACACTGTATACTGATACTTTTTATTTATAAAAATTTCTTCTCACCAATAAAATTAATCCAAACTAAATTAACACCAGAAACTGAAAACTAATTTATATTTTAACACACTTTTTATTGGATGTGCGTGTGTAGGTTGGTAGGATTTGTGCTAAAAAACTAAGAGGACAGGTTGGAGCAGATGCCAGTAACTACAGGAACCGTGGACACTGCAACGCATCATGTGGTTTCAGAAAGTGTTGTGTTTGTTGTCAGAAACCTCCTGCTCCTTCTTTTTCTTCTTCTCCACATCACTTTAATTAATTTAAATAATTAATTCTCTCTTGCTTGATCCATATTTGTACTACTTTTGTGTTCTGGATCTCAAATAGATATGAATAAGAATATTTATATCTTATTGGGAACAAATTATGCAAGTTATTTTTATCTCATGTTTGAATATGGCTCTTTACACTTTCTTATGTTAGTCCAAAATGAAAAATTGACCTGACATGATGGTTAATTATAAGCTTAGCTTGTAAGTTATAATGCATATAAGACATGTGAAAATATTATGCTTAAAATTTGAATTAGTCATTGATATTGGATATCAAATTATTCTTAAGAAAATATTTTGACCGTCAAGACTGATGGCACTTATTTCGATAATAATATGAGAAAATACAAAACTATCACTATATAAAAGAATGGGATATTGAATACACATTGAAAATGAAATTACGATGCACATTTATCCATTATATATTTGAATTGCTTTTATAAATTTTTATTTTGAATTAAAGATGAAAGTATTAGCGGCCTAAGGTTATAAATTATGGAGGAAAATGAAGTCCAAAATTAAGGCGCTAGCAGAAATACTAAATGAAGCATTGTGGAGGGAAAGAAGAACACTTTATAGAAAAGCACTTTATAGCGTCGGCTGATTGAGAGGATCAGCCGCGAAAACATATAAAAATTTAAAAGAACTTATGGTGTCAGGCCCAAAAAGACAGACGCCATCTTTGGTTTTTTAAACTCTCAGTTGTTTACACTTTTTTCTTATTCTCAGGCCCCAAAAAACCCTTTTTTCTTTTTCGGAAAACTTATGACACCTGTTACAATACAAATAGGTTTGATAACAATTTTATTTTTTAATAATTTTCATTCACCCATGGCTTCTGGTCCACAACAAACCGGGCACCATTAGTGTTTAATTTTTTAATGTGCATAATTTATTGTTCTATTTCAAAATTAACATGTTTTAAAAAATTTTATTAGTTTAAGTGGCAATTTATTTACATCTTATTTAAAATTTTTAAGAGTTAATTTACATACGTATATATAGTTGATATATTTATGTATGGCACTTGTTGTATATATAACGGTGGTGATAGAATGATAATCTTATTTATGGCTTCTGTTCTTAATGCAACAAAAGCCATAGATTCTTATTACTTCTGTTTCTTTAATAACAGAAGCAAAATCTAGTAGTCAAACTGACATTTTGTATTAGTATTTTTACAACCCCCAGCTTATGGTGGAGTTTTTATATCATTAGACTTCAAGGCCATTGATATAAAAGCTATTTTTTAATTACTCAATTATTTTTAAGTATAGATTAAGTTAAAGCCGCTTGTAATTTTAAAGTGGGTGAGTATCTCACAATCTATACCATTTCATTTCATATTGTCAATTAGGTAATGGATGGATTTAAGCGACCCTACAAAAAAAAGATCATATAATTAAATTAATTATATATAAATAGGACCCCAAATTTTTAAAATTACTCTCAAAATTTTGAAGAACAATCACTATCCAAAAGACTTCAAAAAATCATACAAGGGGACATATGTAGAAGGAATTCAAAATCTAATTTCCCTATTAAAATTTTCAGGGTACGTAATTTTGTTATGTTCCGTGCATATAATAGTTGATAAAATATGCTAAATAATTAAACTTATGATGTGTTGCATTATATTAACCATTTTTTTTCCTCCTGATGGCAAAAAGAAAAAGTTTTTCTCCAATTAAAATTTTTCAAAGGGCGAAAATGAAAAACTATCTATCCCTTAATGGAATAAGTTTTTCAAATCTGAAATAAATTATATACACGCGCGCAAGACATATATGCGCGTATGCACACTTTCTTAAATATAAGTCACCAATACACACCTCAGATATATTTAAAAAAAATGAGATAACTATATATAATACAGTTTATTAACTAATGAAATTCGTACCATAATACAATTATTTTCCATCGCTCCTGATTACAGTAGTTTTCTTCTCCATGAACACTATGGAAAAAGAAAAAAAGGAAGGAAAAATTTTGGATCAAGCAAATATATAAAAATGGATAAATAAGAAAATTTTTTACAACAATATTGAAAGTAGTAGACATATAAAACAAAACAATGAAATTGATTCTCCTTATATTTATTATATAATAATTATTTTTTAACTCATATTAAGTTTAATAATCAGTTAACATGTAAATCAATAGGCACGTGTATTTGGGCTAATCCAAACCTAAATGGGCTTTGGCCTTTTTTTAAGAGGCTAACTGAAGAGGCATCGTTATTTCTAGCAACAAAAGGGCAAAAAAAAAAAAAAGAAAGAGAAAAAGGCATGATTATAAGTTTAGCTTTTCTAAGCTTAGTGCTAAAATTTTCGTTGCTAACCTAAATTACTAGCTCTAATTTTGAGGACGCACGCTCGACAACCGAGCATGTCCTAAAAGTTGTTAGGTATTTAGTTAAATTTATCAGATACTACTCATCAAAATATGAATCTATTTAATTTATTTTGGAAATCAACCATTTAAAGAGTTATATATTCAAAATTTGTAAAACCATAACTACAATGTTTATTTCTTGCATGAATAATTAAATATTCATTGTATGAAATATATTATTTCCATGTAATTCATTTTGGTTTCGCATATATATTCGAAGCCATTCTCCTTCGTACATATAACAAAAACAATATTTTCTGGTGCTGATAGCCAAAAAAAAAAGAAGAAGAAGATCAAAGACATGGCAAAAGTTTCACACGATTTGGTTTGCTTGATGGTTTTATTTTAACAGTGTAAGCTTTTAAAAATTTTAGATTATATATATATTTTTTGTGGGGGATTGATCTCAAAGATTAGGGGAATTCATAATATTTCTTGCAATGACAAAACAAAAGGGCCAATATGTGTGCAATAAACATTGGGCAAAAAAATTTATATACAAGTTTAGACTGAAAATAAATCTTTTAAGTATACTTTTGAGCATTTTCCTCAAAAAAAAAAAGTATACTTTTGAGCAGTTGGAACGCAATGACACTAAGTACTTCTTTTAAGTCTCTTTTTTTTAAATGTGAGATCATAGAGTATGATAGTTGTGTGAGTTCTTTCTAATGGATGAAAAATAAAATAAAAAATCAAATCATAATATTAATAAATGAGTCGCACTATTTATGAATTGTGAACAATATAATTGGTTAAGAATTTTTGTATTATATGTATAGGGTTGAGATGCAAATTTGTTTCGAAAATTTTCACTCAAGAGCGCTGGATACTTGAAAGTTTTTTCGTGTGCAAATTTATCTTGAAAGTTTAGAATCGTGGCAATAATGTCTTTTATTATTAAAATTTTAACGGTCAATATCATTATTTTAACAGTCAATGATAATTTTTTTTAACAGTATTGGGACAATATTGTTACGATTTTAAGTGAAAACTTTTAAAGCAATTTTCATCTTAACCCATATAGTAAATATATAGATTATTGATTCTTGCTTCCAAAAAATTATTTATAAAAAATAAAATTTAATAATTAGGACTTATCTATTTCTATTCCCATATTGTGTGCATGGATATGTAGGAATGGTGCCAAAAATAAGAGCACAGGGGCAGCCATGTGCGAAGAATGAAGACTGCGTCAAGTTTTGTCCTAGAATTTGTGATGTTCCAGGTTCAGTCAGTAGGAGTAAGAGTGGTTTCTGTGTTTGCTGTGAGGGACCTCCTCCTTTAATTTGATCATCTTCACCTCAATGCTTCAATAATGATAATAATTGTACTACTCTTATCTATGCTTTGGATCTCAAATAATCAATAAGAATAGTTCTATTCTTATTTTGGAATAATATATTCAGCCATGCATTATATTTTTGAATTAAAAAGATAAGTACTAAGGGTTTAAGGTTATAAGTGGGATCTCTAGTTTATAATGGAGTTTTTATGCTATAAAATCACAAGTCCATTGGCATGAAAACTATCTTTTAATTACTAATTATTTTTAAAGTGAGTGAGTATCTCACAACCTATACCATTTTATTTTAGGTTAAAGTATACTTTTAATCTTTTAACTTTACACAAAGTTTTATTTTAGTCTATTAACTTTAAAAAGTAAATTTTTAAGCCTATAACTTTAAAACTGTTAACAAAAAATGATAACATTGAGCTCTTGAATGCTAATAAAATATTACTAAATACTAACATATTAAGTTTAATATTTAAAACACCCATGATTGTTACAAGAATCATTATTTGAGACTAATAATTTTCGAATTAAAGGATTAAAAATATACTTTTTAAAATTAAAAGACCAAAATAAAACATTACATAAAATTAAATGACTAAATGTATAATTTAGCCTTTTATGTTATCATTGGGGTACTGAATGGATTTAAGCGACCCTAAAAAGGGGGGAAAAAAAAGAATCATGTCATTAAATCAATTATATATAAATAAGACCCCAAATTTATAAAATTACGCTCAGAAACCTTAGTCTTCACAAGGTTGGAGGAACAAAAAACAATCATACAATGACATATTACTATATCTCTTATTATAAGATCTTTTTAACTAAATTATACGGTTTAAAAAACAGTTAAAAGTAATTAATTTGTAACAAATACAATTTTTCTCCCAAATATACCCCTATATATAAATGGATAGATGTGAGAGAATAGTAGTGAAATAAATGAAAAAAGAATATGTCTTAAATACATTACACTAGGAGTAAAATAGGTAATAACACATTAAATATTCAGACAAAATCAAAAAAATCTTATAAGAAAACAAACATATTCAAAAAATTGAATCTTATAATAAGAGGCGGAAGGAGTACATGAAAAAAATTCACACGCGCCCATCCAAAATTTAACAGTGAATTTGCTTTTTTAAATCAATTTCAATGATGGTGATTTGACCATTTGTGAGGTTTTTTTAAAAAGATTTCACGAAATATTTACGAGAATCATTCCTCACCTTTTCCTCAGTAGCTGGTACCAAATAGTCCAACGTGGATGGGAAATTGAAAATTAGTACTTGTTTTTTTCTTTCCTTTCCCAAAAAAATTCCAACTTGCCTTTTCAAAATTTAGCCGTCAATTTCAAGATGTCTTTTATTAAGCTAACAAATTTATCTAAAAAATTCACAAAATATGCAAAAGAAATGCACAAATTGTCGCTTTTAAAACAACAAGAACTCATGTAAAGGCGAACACCAAAAAATTGATGAACAGCTGGTGCCTTCGCCAAAACCCCCGCATTCTATTAGTGTAGCGAAAGAATTAAATTTGGAAAGAGAATTGAATGAAGTCTCTGATTTGTGGTTCGAAACGAATGAAGTGGAGGAGGAGATAGAAATAAATGATGCATAGACCAACTCTTGTTGGCCAAAACAATGGAAATTGATTATCCTTTATATGAAAATTGATTATCCTTTACAGGTATTTGGGCTAATCCAGACCTAAATGGGCTTTGACCTTTCTTTAACCCCATTTGGGCTAACAGAAAAGGCATGGCTAGTTGTAGCGGGAAAAAAAAAAAACCAAAGAAAAGACATGATTATAAGTTTAGCTTTTCTAAGCTCCTAAAATTTTCAGCACCTGCTAACCCAAATTACCGGCTCTAATTTTGAAGACACGCATGTGACAACCAATCATATCCTAAAAGTTGTTAGACATTAGATCCATTGCCATAATAATTAGGTAGTATTTAATTAAATTTATCAGATACTATTCATCAAAATATGAATCCATTTAATTTATTTTGGAAATCAATCATTTAAAGAATTATATATTCAAATTTGTAAAACCATAACTATAATGTTTATTTCTTGCATGAATAATTAAATATTCATTGCATAAAATATATTATTTCCATTTGATTCATCTTGGTTTCTCATATATATTCGAAGCCATTCTCCTTCCTACATATAACAAAAGCAATATTTTCTGGTGCTGATAGCCAAAGAAAAAAGATCAAAGACATGGCAAAAGTTTCACACAAGTTGGTTTGCTTAATAGTTTTGTTTATCATTGCATCAGGTAACTCTCCCCCCCCCCCTTGAAAAATTTTAGTAGTTCATAAATTATTAACAGTGTAAATTTTTAAAAATTTTAGGTTTAATTATATATTTATATATATGTAGGGGATTGATCTCAAAGATTACGGGAATTCATAATATTTCTTACAATAACAAAACGAAAGCGCCAATATGTATGCAATAAACGTTGTGCAAAAAAATTTATATGCAAGTTAAGACTGAAAATAAATCTTTTAAGTATACTTTTGAATTGTCGGGTCTTCTGACACGATGACACTAAGTACTTCTTTTAAGTCTTTTTTTTTTTTTTAATGTGAGATCATAGAGTATGATGGTTGTGTGAGTTCTTTCTAATGGATGAAAAATGAAAAAAAAATTGAATCTTAATATTAATAAATGAGTCGCACTATTTATGAATCTTAATTGGTTAAGAATTTTTGTATTATATACATACAGGGTTAAGGCATAAATTTGTCTTGAAAATTTTCACTTAAAAGTACTAGGCACTCAGAAGTTTTTTTGGGTGTAAATTTACCTTAAAAGTTTAGCATCGTAGCAATAATGCCTCCTACTATTAAAAATATTAACTTTCAATGCCACTATTTTAATAGTTAATGATAGTTTTTTAATAGTATGGGACAATATTGTTACGATTTTTAACTTCTCGGGCAAATTTGCACAGAAAAAAAAAACTCTCAGTGCCTAGCAAAAACTTCCGAAACAAATTTGCACCTTAATCCATATAATAAATATATAGATTATTGATTCCTGTGTCCAAAAAAATTACTTATAAAAAATAAAAATTTAATAATTAGTTTCACTAAAAAAAAAATAATTAGGACTTATCTATTTCTATTCACATATTGTGTGTATGGATATGTAGGAACGGTGCCAAAAATAAGAGCACAGGGGCAGTCATGTGGGAAGAATGAAGACTGCGTCAAGTTCTGTCCCAAGACATGTGATGTGCCCGGTTCAGTCAGCAGGTGCAAGGGTGGTTTCTGTGTCTGTTGTGAGGGACCTCCTCATTTAATTTGATCATCTTCACCTTATTGCTTCAGCAATGATAATAACTGTACTACTCGTCTCTATGCTTTGGATCTCAAATAATCATAAGAATAGTTATATTCTTATTTTAGAATATATACTAATATTTGAATTGTTTTCATAACTTTAGATTTTTTTTTTTGGAATTAAACACAACTTTTAGTTTTAAATTAAAGAGATAAGCACTAACGGCTTAAAGTTAAAAGTGGGATCAATCCTATAACCTCAAGTTTATAATGGATTTTTAATGCTATTATGCTATAAGTCTATTGACATGAAAACTATTTTTTTAATTACTAATTTTTTTTTAAGTATAAATTAATTAAAAGTGCCTAGCTTTGTAATTTTTAAGGTGGGTGACCATCTCACAACCTATACCATTTCATGTTATCAAAGGGGTAATGAATGGGTTTAAGCTACTCTACAAAAAAAAAAAGAACATATAATTAAATCAATTGCATATAAATAAGACCCCAAATTTTTAAATTTACTCTCAAAAACCCTAGTCTTCACAAGACTTGAAGGGGGGGGGGGAATCATATAATGACATACATAGATGAAATTTAACAGTGAATTTCCTTTTTTAAAAAAAAAATCAATTTCAATGATGGGGAGTTGATAACATGTGAGGTTTTTTTAAAAAGATTTCACAGAATATTTACGAGTATCACTCCCCATTTCCTCGGTAGTTGGTACCAAATAGTCCAAGATGGATGGGAAATTGAAAATTAGCACATTACTTCCCCCCACCCCCGCCCCCAAAAAAGTTCCAACTTGCCTTTTCAAAATTTAGCTGTCAATTTCAAGCTATCTTATATTAAGCTAACAAATTTATCTGAAATGCACAGTGTCGCTTTTAAAATGAACATTTCCTATATTTTACGTTGACTTTATATCTAACACTGATTATTATTGTCACTATTGTGTGAGCCATTGCTTAGCTTGACTGTATTGGAAAAAAAAAACTGATTATTATTCACTGTATTTAAAAAAATCATAAATTATCACGCTAATAACTTTTTAAGCATGCCCTCATTTAAGTGATGAGACTTGGCACATGAATTATCACACAAATTTAAATCTTATAATGAGAAAATTTTTAATTAATGTTAGGATGTCGGAATCAGTTTTGGTGTTTATTTTTTTCGCCAGACAATTTGAGTGTTTATCATAGGGATGAGTTGGTGCTCATAGTTAATCTCTGATCAATTAATTATTTTTAAGTGAAAGAAATTATATTTTGGAAAAAAATAATTACGATGATATCTTTATTTTAGACTCTTTACGTCTTAAAATAATTTTTCCAACAAAATATGAAGGGGAAAAAAAAATCCAAACCATTGAAAGATTCCAGTGTTCATTATCTAATGAACACTAAAACTGAAGTCGATTGCGTCTAACTCCAATACCAATTTTTGGAGTGAAATGTATGAAGTCGTAAAGGAAGAGAAAATAGTTGGCAAAAATAAAAGAAGAGAAAATAAAAAACAGCCCTTTCATATTTTTATTCTTATTTTATCGTTACACCATATCTCGTACAAAATAATCCATCATTGGAACTTGGAAGGATAACGAGGATTCATGAAACTTCTTTTGTCTGTTTTCAGTGGCTATTAATGAACTCTTTGATCTTAGCGAGAAGGCACTCAGTTTGCTCCGCCGTATCGGCGTCCGTCTCCACCGCCAGTGAGTTCAGATAAAACGTATGTCCCATTCCTTTAGTACTCACAAACACTTCCGCCTCCTTCTTCGCCTTCTTCATTGCTTCACAGTACTCCATCTGCGTATCCACCATCAAGTCCTTCTCCGCCACGCACACCAGAAGCGGCGGAACTTCCACGTCGTCCAGTGACGGCGCTGCCTCCCCCATAGGACACGTTATCGGGTGGTCCTTGTTGCTCCCGACTGGCAACCCCAAGATCAACAACTTGTCTACCATGTCTAATGTGAAGAACGGTGACTCGGGATTCTCTAACTCCGACTTGCTCCGCCTTGAACGGACGAATCCTGGTTGGAGCTCTATCCCTCCGGCGAGCCTTAGCGTCGTTAAGTCATGCTTCCCGGCTGTCACGGCGACCTGATGAACTAGGTTCGCGCCAGTGCTGTCCCCGATAAGAAAAACACGGTTGAAGTCGGCACCATCATCAGCGAGGCATTCCGGCGGGTTTTTCTCATGTTTTGCCACCGATTGAAGCCAGAGAAGGCCGGAGAAAGCATCATCAATGGCCGCCGGAAGGCGGTTCTCAGGGGCGAGGCGGAGATAAACCGATATGCAGATGACCCGGGCAGTTAGGGTGAGCCGGCTGTAGAAATGGTTGTAAAAAAACCAGTTGGGTTGGGTTATGCAAAACCCACCACCATGAAAATGGAGGAGAATCGGAAGCTTATCACCAGGCTTCGTCTCCGGTTGATAAATCCTTACACGAAGGCCGGAAATGTTGGGGATGACGACGTCATGGGTGGAAACTCCGTCGAGGAATTCAGGGTGGGAAGGAACCGGTTCAGTGAGGAATTTGAACTCAGGAGGGCCGGTCCAGGAGCGGTCGACTGAGCCGTCGTCATAGAGCCTGAGCCAATTTCCGACTTGGTCAATGAGCTTCTTTGGAGCCTCCATGACAGAAATGAAAGTGTGGGGGACTGGCAGGGTGATGATTTGCAGACTTTGAACCTTCCGGGGAAGGGGTTTCATATATAATCATCATGGTTATTATTTTTTTTAGGCTAAATTTATGGCAATTAATTAATAGTAATATTTTTAAGGACAATAAATGGTAATTAAATTTTTTGGGCAAATTTATAGCAATTAACAGTAAGATTTGTAGAAGACAATACTTATATCAAGTTCTTTTTATTTGTGATGTTAAGTTTTTACAATCACACATAACTATCTATTTTATTTTTGAAATATTAGTATTTAATATTTTATTGATCCTACTTATAAATCACTTTCAACATAAGAAAAATATTAAATTTCACTACTTTTTATTTAAAATTTAATAACTTTTTAACTTAATCCCTATTTAATTTATATTATATACCTCGTATAAACAAAGTCAACACAACAATAAATCAAGAGTAAAATTATACATCTATATAAAAGATTTTTCAGCGAGCTATAAATAGGATCAAAAAATTCCTTCTTTCTCTATCCTATAAATAGAAACAGAGGAGTAGTATTTAATTATAAATTTACGTGAAATAAAAAAAAACACGTAAACATGTTGTATAATTAAAAAACTTAACATAATAGATATGAAAAACTTGATTTAAGTTTTTTTTTAATGTTTAGAATGCAAAAAAAAGTACGGGATGCGTAATAAATGCATTTTTTTAAGCAAAATAACTGAAAAGTCTTATTTGAAAAAAAAATTGAACCATAAACAAATCTTCTGTTTAGCATATAATTGAAGTTGGACCATGTCCCTGTTGAATACAAGTTGCACTTGGATTTTTAAATAAATTTTAAAAACTTTTGGTCTACAGAAAATTTTAATGAAAAATTTTCAGCAAATTTTCTCTTATTTTCTCAACCATCTACTCAAGTACATTTGTATAACTCTAATAAATAGAAAATAATTTATTTATTTAATAAAAAGAAAATAACTTTGTTAACATAAGTTTTTTCCTTCATTAGATCTGCTAGTTGACGTATTTGCCTTCGTTTTTATTAATCCGATTATTGTTGTTTGAGATAATTCAATCATTATCCTCACCATTTTTCCACTATACTTTTGTTGGCACCCCAAAAAAACTCTATTAATTGCGCTCTCTCTCTGTTTTTTTCCCCTTCAAATTTTACTTGAGTTCATATTTTTTATATAATTATCTCACATTTAGTATAATAGTTATCAACAAATAGAATGACTCTTGTAAATATATATAAATTTTAAATATTTGACTTTGGGGAAAAACATATTAAATTAAATATTTGACGTTTGGTCTACTTTTGCTTTATTTTCTCATTATCAAATATATTTTTTATAGTGCGGGATATTTCATCGTTTTCTTTTCTTGAACCAAAAAGAAATTGGCCACTAAATCAGTTGAAGTAATAACTTAAGAGTCAGTGGGTCAGACCTAAATCAACTTAAGGTCAGACTGGTCATATTAAGATAATATAATTTAATTAAAAATAAAATTATTAAAAATCACTTATAACTACAAAGAAATACAATAATAGTTTGATTGTAACAATAATAAAGTATAACAATATTGAGGATTTTTATTTTCATAATTTCTCAATAACTAAAATTAATAATCATTAATAACAAAATTATTATTAAAATTCATTCAAATCCATATCGACTGAGGTTTTAAGAATTAAATGAGGAAAAATAAGACTAATGGCAACATTATTATCCAAACCTGTTCATCACCTATTCACGTCAATTTAATCAGTTTGATGCTGATTCAACTTCTAATCAGTTCAGCACCCCAACCAAACTAAACCTCTAACCAATTCACCAATTTTCTAGTTGAAACGGCCGGTTAGGTCTAATTTTTCTTCATTGCTTTTTTCCCTAATATTAATTGTCTATTGTTCTCTCTTAGGATAAATATATCACCAAATGATATATAAAAGGAAACGAAATTGTTGGAGTCGTGAGGCCTACCAAAACAATGTTCATTGTCTTCATGCTACGGTTTAATAATGACGTATTAAAGGTTGCCATATTCTGAAGATTTCTTTCCCAACTGGATAGTCGCATATGGGGTGGCCCATATAGGTAGATGTCACATTAATTCTAATTATAATATTCATGTGATACGAGTTGTAGTAAGTAATTACAAGTGTTTTAATTAATAATGTTTGGGTGTAGGGAAAATTTGCAAAGTGAAGGGTTGCGATCTCGAAATTAAAGCCAGGAAAATTTAAGTGGTAATCATTTTTCCTTTACGTTACGGTATATTTAATTGAAGAAATGTACCCAGCTGCAAATAGTAAAAAACAACTCAATTTTATTAATTTTTTAAACAGCATATTACACACCCAGATTCATGAAAAGGTAAAGAAAAAAAGGTTATAGACAACGTACATATTGAAAGTCAGCCTTTTTTTTTAGTGGAAATCAAATTTTAGCACGTTGCCACTCTCACATCTGTACTTGTCATCTTTAGTCATTGTCTTGAAGGGGACTTCTCCAGTCATCTCAATAACAATTTTTTTTTGACGAATAAATATCCTCCTATCTGAGACACTGTTAAATACTAAATATAAATACCTTTCCTGATGAGATTCAAATTTTGATTTACCATATTATGATAGACTATTCCCAATAGCTATTGGTATTTCAACAAAACTCTCTGCAGCCACAAAACCCAATACCAGCAGAATCCATGCCTACGCTACTTTTGAGTTCAGTGAATGAATTGGGGCGATTTTGGCATGTGTTTAAGGAGGTCCCTTCCACAAAAACATCTCTATCAGCTTCTTGCAGTTTGTAATCTAGGCTTTGCCTGTTCACCAACCAAAAAAGGAGAAGAATTTTGAAACACCGCAAGATAGATAGAGATTGGATTAGATTTGCAAACAGAATTAGGAATGTTGAGCTACAAGGGGTTGGTTTTATATTTATTTAAGGAAGATTAACAATCATTCTAGATTCAGTGCGAAGAAAGGAACGATGAAATGATCAAAGTGAAATGAAGTTAGAGAATGATTCTTTTTTTGGCCAGAAAAGGAAATGATTCAACAATATTGATTTATAGAAAATGCAATTATCTCTACCATAAAACGATCATTTTGAACGGATCGATACAGTGAAGACGTGGTAAGCGGAACACCATGATAAAGGACAGTCATCAATGCTGGTAAAAATAAAAAATAAAAGGACAGTCATCAATAGCGAATTTACTACTCGCAGCTGAAACCCAACCGACCATTTTGACTCAAAAGGGTGTTACAAGATTTTAGAGAGAGAAAGCAGATGGACAGATGGATTATGGACTTCGTTGCTTATTGTCGTTTAAATCCCGCCCCATTCCAACTTCAGATAATCTCCCGCATTTTAAACATATAGAGTTTAATTAATTAATCCTCGAAATTAAAAATTAAGAAAACTGATTAAGCTGATTATTATTGTTATATATGAAAATTGTGTATCACTTTTCTTAAAATATCCCTATTTTAATAAGGTTATATTAAACATGAGAGACCAGGAAGAAAATAAAAGGAACTATGAAATCAATGAGGATAATGCGAGGGGAAAATATTAAACTAGAGAGACAACAAAGATTAATAGTTAATGCCCTGTATATAGGATGAAAATAAATTCATTAATGAGATTTTATATTTAGGTAAGTAAGAAGGTGTGGCTGTATAGAATGCTAGATATAACTAAAAAATAATGTGGGTGAGCTGAATGTACCTTTATCAAACAAATTTTAAGTATATGTTTGATGAATAATTTTTTTTTAGCAATTCCCCCCCTATATTTTCGATTCCCCCGGCCTCATGCCACTTGAGTCCACGTACGCGTTGAAAGCTCATGCAAACAACTTCATTTTGTATCTCTCTTTTTTCCTAAGGCAATTTTGTATCTCTTGAAAAAGGAATAGTACAAGTAATTATCTCTATCTTAATCATCCTTGATTATTCTTTTATTTTTAAATTTAGGATATAACATGGTAACATACTCATTTTTATAAAAATCAATTAAATTATTCTTCCATTTTTCATTTATTATGCATACATTCCTTTTTCATTGTAAAAATATTTATGTCATGTTTGTAGAAATAATTACCAATTAATTTACCATATTTTAATAATGTAATTATATACTCACTATGATTATAACAAACCTCCAGCCAGACTCAGATATTTAGAAGATTTCTCGTTTTGTTAATCAAGTCTTTAATATATGGAGGAATCTGAACCCACGTGTTTGTAACGTGTGAATTGCATTCTTACAATTCAATAATTACATTGATTGCTTTGTTTTATTTTTCCTCATACATTTAATGCCACGATGCCGTCCTGATCATTAGCTAATTAATGTTCAACAAACTTTTGGTCTTGTAGCTGTACGCCCTTTCATTCAAAATATAAGATAAATTTTGTTTATTTAGGTTTATAAAAAATTAGTTAAAATCAGTTTAAAACAATAAATACATAAAGCATGTAATTTGTTTTCAAATATAGCCTTATTAACGAAGAGAATAAGTAAATAGTGTAATAAATAAATTAAAGAGAAAAACAATATATGGGGAAATATTAAAGAGAATTCATTAAACACTTAGACAAAACAGAAATATTATGGTGAGAACCCACAAGGGAAAAATCCCACGAACCCACAACCGATCTGAATATACGCACCCCAAGAACGTAAACAAAGGTCTGGTGATCTACTTGAACCCTTGAACACGGAAGAACAAGGACCCGAAGTGTTGAAAGACGCCACAAGATTGATCAAGCCTTGATAAGTCTGTTAGTTCAATGAAGAACCCTAGAGAGAACTCCTCTCAATCAGAAATTGCAAAATGCAAGTTTTCATTCAAAATTCCAAATCTCCTCCAAAATGAGGGTTACAATATCTTATAGAGGATACATTCAAGATCTGACCTAAAAAGCATTAAATGCAATCTAGAAAATCAAAACATAATAAATTCATAAGGACTTGATTTAGGTAACTTGGAAATTCAAAAGTCAAATCTGCCAACTAATTATGAATTTT